GAACCAAAACGAACTTCAATATAAGTTAGGTATTCGGAAGCGAAACGGGAAATCCAAACAGACACTTACTCTAACACAGAAAACTGTAGTCTTACGGCAAACGACAACAACCAAACGATAAACAAAAAAAACTTCAACTACTCTTCTCTAAAAATCGCACACGTCAACATTAAAAAAGGGTCCGCGTGATTTGCTTACGAGATTGCTTCGTAACCTCAAAGCACGCGCACGCGAGTCGCGCGCGCACAAGTTTGTTAACGTCTTCTTAACAGCAGGCAAAACCGTGGCAGCTGTTATACTGAGTGTTTAAAGTATTTTGACTCAAGGTCGCACAATCTGACAGCCAACCCCTCCCAACCCGTTTTTCAAGGGATGAGGGACATTTTCAGAAATGCTGGAGGACGAACGAGTTCCTAACAGGTAAAAAAGGGGCAATATCACAACTGAAAAGTTCTCTTATTCTTTTAATATCCAGTAGAAATAGAAGAGGGTTCTTTTGATGTTTTTGGAGATCCATCGTGATTCAGTGGAAATCACCTCAATTTGAATCTAAATACTCCAACACAAAGTGTATATAAAAACCTCTCATGCCAGCTGATGCAATAATTATTACCAATATCGATCAATAATATTCCTACGATGTATAAATATCCATATGATATTTACAGGAAGAATGTTGAATGCGACTTATAAAGCGCATGCGCAAAGTTAGTGAGCAAGTTAATTATATTTCAGAAGCAGCTACGTAGCTTCTACATGTAATTCCCTGATTGTCTGGCCAATTTATAATCTTGTTAGTCGCGAGGACTAACAATATCTCCTATAAGGTCATCAAAGTTAATGTGACCCCAACAACAGCCCTTCTCATTAACGAGTCTGAGTTTCGCGTAATGACCAATAAACTCTTCTACGTCCCAGCTCTTACGGCACATTGTCTCCAACCAGTTTCCTGTCTCATTTCTGACGACCTAACCGTAGCAACAAATTTAAACAGTTTTTAACTCTTGTTTAGGCGATTGCTAACGCATCTAACATCTACGGGTTTATGTCGAATTAATTTGATGGCCTGCTCTCAGTTGGCTTGTTAGCTCAATTGGTAAGAGCGCTGCACTAGTATCGCTGAGGTCAGTGGTTCGAATCCCGTACAGGCCTGAAATTTTTTTCAGGTCTGATTTTCACTATTGCTCAAATAGTGCTTTACTGCGAAGGATCGTGCTCATATACGTAACATGACTATATCATACAGTAAGGAAGTAATTTGCCTCAAGAGTCCAAAAGTCCTTTCTGAACCAAAGTTTGGACCCCCCAATCAAAAACTTCTGGATCCGCTCCTGAGTTTCTAAAGAAACTGTTTGGGGCTGCGTCGGTGGGGTTAACGATCATACATTAATCGACTTCCAATCTTTAAACATAGGGAAAAAAACTGTCGTTTGGAAGGGGGGGAGGGGGGTAAGCCAAAGACAAATAGAGTGAAATATTAAAGTGTCAGACTTGTAGTTTCTTATCACCTGGACTTTCCCTTGAGGACGCTCAAAATAAGCCATTTTCAAGTCCAAAAATATTCACTAAAAAAACCAAACGTTTTCGACACTAGGTCGTCATGGAGGTCATCATTTTTCATCCCCCGGCCGATGATGACCTAGAGCTGGAAATGTTTGTCGTTTACGTTTTAAATATAATTTTCCCCGTAAAGACCTCGCTTTAAACCTAGGCGAATTT